ACGCATGACAAAAGCAAATTGAGAATTGTGCTAATGTCTGGGGAAAATGCACCATCTAGCATCACTTTGTAACAATTAACAGCCTTGACATACTTTTCAAATTTCGCATATGCTGCGATCATAGAATTCCAGGACACAACAGACCTTTGACCAGCGTCAAATTCATCAAACACTGTCTCTGCAGAGCCCAAGTCACCACACTTGGCATATCCAGCAACCAAAGTGTTAGCCACGGAAAGATCATCACGAATACCAATTCGAATCCCAAAGGAATGAACTGCACCCAAAAAAGTCAGACTTCTCACACGCAAAATGGCGTCAATGAGTAGCAAAACAGTGATTGAATCAGGACGAATCCCCGAAAGCCTCATCTGACGCAGAAGATAAGACAGCCTATCAAGAAAGCCAGATTGAGCAAAACCCAACAGCATTGCATTCCAAGAAGCAATGTCCCTGACGGGCATTTCAACAAACACATTGTGTGCATCTTCCAACTGACCACACTTGACATACATATCAACCATTGCAGTTTGCACGTAAATGTTGGATTGAAAGCGGGATTTGAGGACGTGGGCATGGATGATTTTGGAGTTTAGGAGATGGGAGAGTGTGGCGCATGCTTTTAAGAGGAAGGGAAAGGTGGAGTTGTTGGGTGTGAGGGCAGTTCGCTTCATGTGGCGAAAGAGAAGAAGAGCGTCGTGGGCATGACCTTGATTCACAAGGTATCTTATTTTGGAGTTCCAAGTGAAAAGGGTCCATGAACGGCTGATGCATGGAGTGACACCACCACAGTAATGTCTTACCATTTCTCATTGCTGAGGTTCTTTCCAACAACACTTGTTTGCCCAACAAAACAACATCATTCAACGGTCAAATTGAAAAAAAAAAAGTTAAATTTAAAAATCAGTCACTTAAATAATAAAATTAAAAAAATAATTACTTTAATTTAAAAAAAAAACTTTTATCTAAATGATAAAATTAAAAAATAAATGTGAACACAAATACGAGAAGCAAAGATATGACTCAAATACTAACTCTTTCTTAAAAGAACCTATTCAAAATAGGAAGTTAGAAAGAATATTTTATTAATTTTAACATGTACATAGTTATTTTAGTCTATATAATTTGCAAGATAAATATTTATTTATAAGACTAAATTTATAATAAATAAATACTTTGTAATGTACGAATTATGTTATGGTTAAGATTTATAATAAATAAATATGTATAATGAGTGTTAAAACGGACTGCTCTGATTGTTTTAGGTTTGTTTCTATTCTAATTCATCAAAATCAAATTGGGTCATGCTAGTCTAAATGAGAAAGTAAGTTGGAAGATTGAACTTGTTCCGTTACTATATGGGTTGGCCAACTTTTTCTTCGTATCTTTACCAGTTCACCCATCATCTTTTTTACCATCCATCATCATTAGAATCCATTCACTATTTTCTTCTTCCTAATCATAGTCATCTTTATCTTTACATTGAGAACTTATTTCACGCCGCTAAAATTTAAATTTGCAAGGAATCTCAATCCATAAAAATTATGACAACTAGAAATTTCAATCAGCAAAAATTATGGCAACATGAAATCTTAATTAGGGTTATTGTGGGTCACCTTGTCAATACGGAGACTCCTCTCTTGATCTAGCTCTCTCTCGCACCATGTAGCATGTTATGGTGTGTGGGTCGCGCACGTCTAGGGATGACAACACATCAGGTCGAGCACGATAGTGTCTACTTGTAACTCGATCCGAAAAAAAAATCCACCCGCAATCCACGGATAGTAAATATTCGCAGGTATCAACTATCTGTGGCAGATTTTATCCGCAGATATCCGCAAGCGCAGATTTTTTTGCGATCCCTATGCACACCTCCTCTCGATCTCATCTAGTGGTGGTTGCTAGCCTACTCTCGATCTCAAGTGGTGGTGGTCGTGTGAACCTCCTCTCAATCTCTTGTGGTGGGTGGTCACACTCTTCCTCTCTATCTCACATGGTGGTGATCGCTTGCGACGTGTTTGTGTGGTAGTGGTGGCTCACAAGTTACATGGCATTATGTGGGCTGACTCTATGAGTGCATAGTGTGTTTTGTCCGTGTGAAGAAATGTTATGTTTCCTTAGCATAATAGGACAACTCTCTAGTCTCTTTGTGTTGTGTTGTGGGTGGTGAGAATGACGAAGAAAATGGGTTCAAAAACATGACTTGGCCAACCTTTTTGTGTCGAGTTCATTAACAGACTCGTTTTGACATTTATACTATATTTTACATTATAAGATAAATAATTCATGTGATATACAATTATTTTTAATCATTGACTATTTTAAAACAAAATTGAAATTTAATTTTGAAAATATAAAAAAGAGTGAGTATAAATTGTTGAAATAATAAAATTCTTTTTTGGTAAGGCAAATACATTTTTATTCTAGAAAATATCTAAAAGTAAAAATAATATTTATAAATAAAACTTGATTATTTTATTATTAAAATGTCAGTTATAAATAGAAAAATCAGTTAATTGAATTTTATTTTATAAAAGTTCGTTACTCTAAAAATTATCACATTTTCTTTTTTGCACTCTTTATAAAATTTTGTCTGATATACTCATTTGTTTGAAGATAAGAATGTACTATATAAGTCCTAACATAAAGTTCTACAATCTTAACTTTATCATAATTTTATTTTGTATAGGTTCATTTTTATCCTTGCCCTTGAGTATGTGTGCATGTGAGATACGCCGAGTGAAGTTAAGACATGAACCATAATTTATTATGCATAATTTGTGAATTGAATGTCTTCATGTGAATGTATTATTTCCAAGGAGAAACACTATTGAGATAAGATGTTTTTCGAAACAAAACATATGGAATAAGATTTTCAAAATAAATTTTCTAAAACATATACGAAATGTGTTTTACAATAAACTTTTCACCACACTTAACATTTTACTCTCTTTTTCTTCAACAAAAGTGTAATAGAAAATGGAATTGCAATCAAAGATACAACATAGAAGAAAAAGATATAATGACGATAATGGTTATAAGGACAATGACGGTGATAGAGTGTGATGCAGTGAGGAATTATCGATATGTTAATCTTTTTGTTATATATAGTATGGAATTAGAGATAGTAATGATGAAGGTAGAACAAGAAAAAGCCTAACCTTAAGGTTCCATTGGTGTGATGAAAAGAAATAGAATTAATAAATACAAGTACGTGAGAAGTAAAATAAGAATTCAAAGTGTTTGAAGGATATATATATATATATCCCCTCTTACTCTCTTGGGTCAAAGATCTTAACTATTTTCATATTTTTCATCCAACTTATTTCTGGCTAATTAAGAAGGGTAAAACTTTTGATATATACAACAAAATAAATAAATAAATGATATAAATTTTAATGAAAGAATCCCTCACAAAGAAGAAAGTATTACTAGAAAGTGACAAAAATGTCCATGTAATACAACATTTAATAGAGTTTTGTAACGATGTGAGAGTGAGAGTGAGTTTGGGTTGAACGTGGCAGATCTTTTCTCTTACGTGGGATCTGTTGGGTGGTTATATATATATATATATATATATATATATATATATATATTTATATATATTTGATGTGAGAAAAGAACAAGATGATCCAACCTAGTTCTTGAGGATCGAGCTATGTTGCCGAGGAATCCGGGGACAGGTCAAAGAAGAATACTGAAACACTCTTCATTCGATCTACATTATCTCAATAAACAATATCAACTATCAAAATACTGTCAATGTTGTCGCCTCAATTTTCAAAACCTCTACTCCTTCTTACTATACCTACTCCTTTCTACCACACATACCCTACACCTTTCTATCTACAATAATACAATGAAACTCATCATACCGCCTTTCTTTCTATTTCTCATCTTTACCTTCAATGTCTTTTATGTTTTTCAAGGGGAAGCACTTATCACCCAAGGAGTTCCGCCTTCTGGGAGTTCTGCAACTATTGTGAGTTTCAATCTCTGCTCTGTAATCTACATCTTCATAATTTTTATGGGAATAAGTTAAGAGCGTAATCTTTGTGTACTACTGCTAGTAACTAGATATATCAATCTATCATGGATTATTATTATTATGTTTTTCAAGATAATTACTGTAAAAATAAACAAATTTGTAATACATTATCATTCTCTGAATAAATACAATTGTAATGAAACTGACAGAGGATAAATGGAGATGTGAATAGGGTTTGATAAATGGATTTAATTATTCAGACAGGTGGGTGTGAAAAGCAAAGGGGTGAATGCAAGGAAGACAGAAGTGGGTCGGAAGAAAGTGTATTAGAGAATGAAGATTATGTCTATACCAACTCCTTGCCTTAGATGTTAAAGTTTAGCTTCGTTGCTTGTCTTGTAGTAAGAGGAATTCTTCTGCGGGATAATGTGCTGATGTCCAAATGTAAAGGATCTATAACTTCTTGCTGTTGAGTGGTATTTGATTAGTAAAGCTCTGTCTTCTCGATTGGAGTTGGCTCATACAGATGCTTGCTTGCAACATTTTTCACTATTAAGTAAAATTTATGACTATTAGTGTATGACAATGAAATTTCTCCATAACAAAACAAGTGTGTTATTGAACTAATTCGCAATAAAGATAACGTGCAATGCTGAGATTGGGATCAGTTTTTACGAGAATATAATTTCTGAGGGTTTCAGACTAACTGATCCTTCAGAAGCTTTTGCTTTTACGAATATTTATCACGCGAAAATTAAGAATGCCTCAACTAAATTTTATAATTTTATTCTCTATTGTTTCAGTAAAATATAATACAAAAAAGCGTCAACAAAATTAAAGTGTAGTTTATTCGAACATAATTAATTTCTAACATTCGTGTATATTAGACATTAAACATTGACTGTATTAAAATAGAAAACAGCCCATGATATGAAGTTAACAGAGCATGCCCATGTGGATGTCTTCATAATGTGATTGCACAATCACGAACCTAATTAGACGCTCGAGCCAATAAACAGTAACCATAATAACTGCATTTTCTGACAAACGTCATATCTATGACAAATACTTACATTTGTATCCTCATTGGACAAAGTTATGTACGAGTTACAAGTAGAGCTTCCAGCTGTCAAACTATGTCGGAAGCTCCACCATACTATATGGTGATTACAACAATAAACGCTACACCAATGCCTATAAAATTTACAATATGGATGAGGTAAGAATGTTAATGACAAAAATGTGGCTCGCCAATTGGTTACCTTAGCCCGATCACTTCAGCATGCCTGCCAGCCTTGGCACATGCTGATGTATGTCAAGATGTTAACTTAGTTTGAACTTCAAATCAATTTCGTGACCCGAAGGTTGGCTTGTATGTTCTTATCATGACCGTAACAAAAGATACGTGTCCATCCTAAATCTGCAGTGGATCAAAGGACATATATATATAAGTACATGGATCAGGGCAGCATGCCAAGAACCCAAAACAGTGTTCAATAAGAACTACAAAATATATATCAACCCATTTACAGGTAAGCCCCCTATTTGTATTTCAATTATGTAACTGACTGAAAATTATAACTACGTGTAAGATTTCTAACAAACACAAGATATGTTCATACTTGGTATATAAACATCATATTACATACATGGGAATATATAATGTCAAGAAATCTAAGAATTTTCACACAATTATATTTAATTGATCATACCACGAAACAAGGTTTTTGAAATTTGAATTTCCTTAAATTTGAGTTTTCCATACCTAGGAGAAGAGAGCCAACCAACCAAAATCCATACTAATACAATACAGAGACTAAAACGCATAGACCCGCATTAATATACTTTGACTTCAAATTAAGTAAATATCAGAATTTGCATTCTGCAACCCCTTAAATAACATTTTTTTTATCCAAAAAGCAGGTAGATCTCCATTAATGGACTAAGCACAAGGTTGCGATGGTGAGATAGATCTCTACCCTAAAGTTCAAGATAACGAATATGCGGATTTTTCACTTAAAATTTGTCTTCAGTGTAACCCATCATTAATCAGTGAAGGCTTCATCGTTCGCTTGAATTTCTAACATTCTTCCTCTCAAAGTGTAAATCCAAATGTGTTTGCTCCCCCTCAAGATGGGGTTTAGCAACTAAAGTGTTCTTAAACGATCCGTCTAAAAACTTGGTTGTGAAAGAATTCGTGACAAATATTCTGCCGAACAAAAACATCTTAAATACTTGTTGGGCAGCTAGAGTAAGCTCCAGAGGAGATGGACCAGCATTCGTGGGTTAAGTGAAAGAACAGGCACGCTAGACACCCCATCTCAACCTAAAACCAAAGACAAGGAACATATGGCCATTCCTCTATATTTTCCTCACTTAACCTATGTCTAACCAGCGTGGGATTTCATACTCACTTCACTTGAATTCCCCAGGGTAGAAAACAACGAGAATTTGTCTCCTGTTACAAACAAGGATTGTGACTCAAGGTTATTGATTACACTAAAAATAAAAAAGAAAGAAATAGAACACAATTAAAAGGGTGTTACCAGAATACCAGTTTTTTCTTTTTTTGTTCAAGGACCAATAGACGATCATGGCCAAAAGAAAAAACCTATTATCCACATGAATAGTTAATCTGTTTCAAAATTGTAACATAAACGAGATGATTAGCCACTGTCAGAACACAGTATGCTACTGTGCCTATTAACTGGGTGATGCCATCAAGTAACATTTTCTCACATCTAAAATTGGCAAGTTGCATGTTTAAACTCGCCATAAATTAGTTCTCAAATTAAGACCAAAGTATATAAAAGCATTCAATTCACAAGGTTCCCAACCATGGGTCTGAATAAGAGGCTCAAATCTATGCACGTAGAGACTATGAGCAGGGAAAAAGAAACGAAGACCATAAAAAGAACAGCACAATGCACAAGCCTCCTCCATGTTTGTCTTTGGGATGGGTAAATCGTGCACAACCTTACCGATAAGAATGAGAGGCTGTTTGCACAACTAAAACCCATATCCACCAGGTCCCTAGGCTTAAACAAATACCATGATACGGAATGCAGAAGAATGGCATGTCAAAAGCATGCCAAATAATCTTTTTGACCACATAATTGCCCTTTAGCATAGTATCTTAACAAAAAACATACATCCAAAAAATTTTAAAAAGAAAAGAAATTCACCGAGTAGTTGCTTATGCAGTCCCTGTAACCAGCCTTTCCCGTTCATCTAGCTTCTTGATCTTCACAATGCCAAAGAGCACTTGAAAACCAAAGATTGCACAGAACACATATGCTATAGTGGCAGGCACCTGAAATAGATGGCATGAAAATTAAAAATGAAAAAGTGCCACTACCACCAGACAATCAATTAATTGATTGAAAACCACCCCAAAAAAGATGAAACGAGAACCGCTTACCTTAATTGAGTTCAGATACAGAATTGTTGCAAGATTTATTAGGCTCCCAGAAGCTATTGCCTATTAATTGACAAAAAGGCAACATAAATATGCATTATCCGGCCAAATTTTCTCATCTCTTGTCATATACACATATCATACATATATTCAAAGTATTGATTCTAAAACATCATAGACATGGTTTATAAAAAGTACGTGCATGGAATATAATTCTGTTAAGAGCCAACTTACTATACATATCCACTATTCACTCAAAAATCTCTTGAAAGATAAGAAATGCTAGATTGATTTTTATTAAGTTGAAAAATAATGATTCAAGCCTTCCCAAAACATAAAAATACTACTACCCGCAAGGCACTCACAAACGTCCCAAACTAATAAAAAGAAAACTACAAATGTTTGAAGGCAGGTAAGCATATCCAATGTAGTTCTATGTCATCAGAGCAGGAATAGGTATCCATTAAATTTCCATAATTTAGAGTTCTATTTATACAAAAGCAAACAGATTTACAATCAATACTGTTTGATGGGCATGCATAGCTACAGAAAATAATAACTGGCTATTTTAATTGGACTCAATGAGTCAAACCAAATCCCAAGAAACAAGTTAACTTAAAATTTCACTGTGTTAGAGGGCAGATTTACTCACATTCCCTATTGTCTTCTGGACAGCGGCAATACGCTGGAATGCCCTCTCAGATTCCAATGCTCGGACTCGGAGCTTTAGGTCACCTTGCTCCTGTGCAAGAACAAAGGACAGGAGGATGTGATGTAGAATTCCAGAAATCCAGAACAAACAACAGATGTGAATCAAACGAATAACTGAGTGTACGTGTTGGTTAGAAGTTTGAAAGTTGCTAAACAGATATATTTACAGATCCTTATGCATGAATGGAGAAGCGACTTTTTGTTTCGTCGGAATAAACATAAGCTACGTTAAACATAGCACACAACCTAATTATGTCTACAAAAATCCAATACACACCAATCTTTGGATGATTTCAGCAAGCTTTTCAACCCTATCAGCCTGTCTAAATAAATTGTAGAATGCTTGAGATTGTCTGTCCCATCTCTTTCTCAAATCCTGTACATTTAGAAGAAAGATATGAGAAAGGAATCATAATACTTGTCCTGACTTCAAACATAGAAGAACAAGTCTGTGACTGCCTTTAGGATAACTTCAACTCCTGCCTCACGGAATTTTAACAACTCCAGAGCATAACTACAGGATCAGGAAAGATGGCCATGTTAGATATGCAAAGCATATAATTAAAACATTTTTTAATGTCTAAAAAGAATTAAAACATTATTAACGATGAATAGGGTACTCACGGTCTGGCAATCTCTGTAATATCAAAACGAGGATCGAGGCCCTTTCCAATGCCGTCCAACACTGCAATAAAAATAATTACTGGTAACCTTGCAGTTATAGGCATAGAAGATACAAAAGTGACGCATTAAACTCCCAATATTAACCTGAGAAGGCTCTAACAACAAATGTGAATGTAGCAGGAAAACGAAAGGGCTGGTCTGCTGCAATGGCTAATAAATCCTCACCTGTTTAAAGTATAAGAGCTACAAGTAAGTGAAAAGGGACTAAAAAATGTTACTGAACAAAATCACGCTTGGTTTGATGGAATGATGAAATGGGAATAGTAATCAAACTTTTATTTCTATGTTGTGTTTGCTATGAAAAGAAATAAAACGATGACTTCATTCCCTCTTTTATGTTTCATATGATATGACTTTAAGAAAATACAAGAAAAATAGACTTGGCCTGCCAAGTGTGAGCCGATCAAACTTTTGGGCTTAATTGGTCTGAAACAAATATATTGATCCCAAAGGATTTGGCACCCGAACAGGTAAGCCAGACGAGATGGGCCAGTTTTAAAACATGTTGGAAAATGGAATCGGATACCATCACTTCTGCAATGGAATACATATTCCCATAATTGTACCCCAAATGTTCATTCCCATTCCAATAACTTAACAAGGTATGGGAATGGGAATGATAAAATCCATTTGACCAAACCTGCATTTTACTAATAGAACAAAAACACCCAAGGAAGTACTGAAAGTTTTACAAAATTCTTATAGTTGACACAACAGGTCATGTCAAACTTTACGAATGAAATCAGTTTAACCAATCAAGAAACAAATAGTATGTCGAACTGTATATAGCTTTTGACCTACTTGAGTGCTACTGGATAAAATAATAAGTCCAATCCATAACCCATAGCCAAAACAATATATCCTTCACTATGACTCATCCTTTTTTATCTTCACATATGACTCATTTCATGGACAATAATTGTTTTATGCATACATTCAGATAATCTAAACTTAAAGACACAATAGACCAGCTGCATTACCAATTGCAGCCAGACGCTCTTTCTTCTTCGTTACTTTTTCCTCTTTGCTTAATGGCTTTTTGAATCCAAGTTCAGCCGTTGCCATCTCTCTCTCTCTCTTTTGTGCAGCCAAACGCTCTTCAAAACTACAAAAAGAAAAAATAGTTCAAGAGCTCAACGTCAGATATTCTAGTAGGTTTCTAAAATAACTAATGAGTATAGACGTTCTAAACCATAAAATTATTAGTGGGAATATAGGCTTAAACTATCAACAAGTAGTCAGAAATTTGCAGTAACAATTTTCAAATAATATCACTATTTCTTTTTCATTGGTGGGGAAAAAAAAGTCAAGCACTTTGACTCTGAGTCGGTGCAATTTGATCCTACCACTTGAGCCAACACTAGTATCACTATACACAAGACATATCTACTCAGGACAGCCAGATACCACAGCCCAATCAGGCAATCAATGAACAAAATTTCCCTTTTCCGAGATAGAAGGCTTAGAATCTCCTATCCACAACACTTTCTTAAGGTAGTTTTAAGCAGCCTCTGCAGGAATCAGTCAATGATTTACATGCTACTGCTACTGCTACATTATGATATTGATTTATAGAAATACTACTTCTAAGTCAATGTAGATGTTTTGAATTATTTCGTGCATTCCCACTAAATAGATTAAATAAATTACCTATTAAGGAAGAACTGAGCCGTTCGTCTAACAGCAGTCATATCTCCAGTTGGGACAAGAACACCCATTTGAATCATTGATTGAAGGACCTGCATCGGTACACAAGCTCCATTTGGTAAGTAATTTAAAATTGAGAATGGAATATCATGCTATATTCTTCATGACCTTTATGGAACACCATCCATAAAAACCAATTATACCTTTTCTGGATTCTTCTCATAAATTCCATAAAAAGCTTCAAGTAAACCTTCTCGAATATTCTGACTGATACTGTAAGGCGCAACATCAATCATAAATGCAAATGTATTCATCAAACCAAGAGTGTGTTTGACTGGTACTATCATATTATAAATATACAGAAAAGATAAACAAAATACCTTCCCATCATTCCGAAATCATAAAAGATCAATCTTCCACCATTGACATCATCAACTGCAATATTTCCGGGATGCTGCATGAATGGTATAAATATTACTTACAACTTACAAGAGTGTCGAATTGACCCCCTAGAGTGATAATGATCTGATATGAAAAACCTTTATCCCTCATTCAACACAGTTTCTTCCCCAGAGAAGGAAAAAAGGCATGGCAACGCAATATTTAACGAGTCCCTAACATAGTATTTTGGATACATGGCAGTCACTATTCCTCAACACAGAAAGTTACTTCTAAAACCCTCATGAATAAGCCCTAGGGAAGCTTCCCGATGTAATAGATGATAATTTATATGACACAAGCAGCAAGCTTTTTGTACCTCAGGCAAAAGATGCTCTAATATCATAGTATAAGAGCAAATTCAGAGATAGTAAGCATTGTATGTTGGCTAAACCATACAATTTACCGGCTACAAGAAAATCCAAACAAATCATTAATCCTCTATTTGCATTAGAAGTAAAATACATGCTAAAAATATACAATAGATGGAAGTAAAAGAGAAATAAAGTAAAAAGTTGCTTTGAAGAATAGAAATAAGAAGGAAATGGAGAAATTTCTCTCCACTTGAGAGGAAGAGTGGGTAAGAATAAATTAATTGTACAAAAAGCTTTTTAAACTAGTTAAAAAATGTAAATAAAAGATGTAAACCTTTTACTGTAGTATATTTTTTAACAACCATCTTTTTTTATAAAAATGTTTATTGAATTTAAAAAGAGAAACACAAATAATCACACTAAAACACATTTTTCTTCATTTTCATGGCAACTTTGGGGTTGGGGGGTATATGCCGCACCCATCCAAACACATCCTCCCTATATCCTCTCCATCATTCTAAAAAGATAAGTCATGAGAGACAACTCAACAATTCTAAGAACAAGAACAGTACGCACAGGGTCAGCATGGAAGAAACCATGTGATAAAATCTGCTCCAAGTAAGACTCCACTGCATATCGCCCTAACCTGTAAAAGATAAAGTAGACATTATGCTAATTCTGAATTTCAAAAGCCATCCTCAGTTCTTCAAATTCACAGAAGTAGAAGAGAAAATGTCAATAGTAACTTGGCTTGAAGAAATTCAGATGACATTAACCTTTTCCGATCAACACCCAGTTGATCTAAAGCTTGTATTTTATTTATTTTAATCCCGGGAACATACTCCATTGTCAGAATCTGCATTGGAGAAATAGTTAAATTATATGGATAAAAAAAGAAATACATAAGTAAAAATGGTAAAGATGTATAAACTGCAATATGTTATCTATGAGAACTGAATGTTAAACCTGGGGTGTGGTATAATCCCAGTAGATTGTAGGGACTTTCACATAATCCAATTGCTTAAAGTTGTTTGCAAATAGTTCAGCATTAGCAGCTTCCTTGGTGTAATCAATCTCCTGAAAATATTTAACTCGTGTCACATTAACAAGGATCAGATAAAGTTAGGATGTGCAGGAAACTTGTGCAAACATCTGCAGAAACAAGAACAAGATCCATAAATGAATACCAAAAACCTACTAATCTATTACAATGGTCCTTTATATATTGGCGCTAAGCTCTAAAACTTAAAACGTGAAAAGCAATAAGCTGTTCAAGGTTTTAGAAAACAAGTGGTGACATGAAATCTCAACAAGCATGACTCTTGCTGAAGCATTATAATTACATTTAAAAACCAAAAGCCCCTCTTTTCCATTTTACTCTACCACCTAGCCAGGTAAAGTCATCTCCTTTCTGTTTACATAAAGGCGTTTAAATAATCCTTCAGTAATCTTTAATAAAATTTTGCAATAAGATTTTCCATCATCAAATGGAACTTCATTGATTTCCCCACAGGAAATTCCAAAAAGAGCAAAGCCAGCTTCTTCACACTTTCCAAGAACCTCAACATAATCAAACTCTGCATGAGTTGTGATCCGTGCAACCTCTATATTTGATTTCCCTATAGCAGAATGACATCTTTATGATGGAGAGCCAGTAAACCAAACACGTGACTTTGTTCGGTTATTCTTAATTAACCTAAGAATGACACAACATTCCAGAATATCATCACCTGATATAAAACAGAAGCACACTCGTCATAAATAGCAACCCAATCCCTCTTTGCACCATCTGATTTAGGATCAATTTTTTGAAGATATTCAGCAATGACCTGGAGGAGGTAAAAAAAAGGCCCAAGTATCAGTGGTTTACCTAGTTCTGCAAGTCTTCAAAGGAAGCAAGTTCTATTAGTAAAAATGCTTCATGTAAGAAAAAAAAAAATTAAAACCAAGTTCAAATTTTAAAAAAGATTTGTCAATCTTGGAAGGTTATTAAATATAGGAAATTAAGTTAAAGAGAAGGTAATAGAATTATCAGAGCGTAATATCACATTTTCACACAGCACTAAAAGTGCAAGCATTATATGACACTGACCCTCAGATTTTTAAGATCAATATCAAAAAGATCTTTGAGACCAGGCCTTTGCACTTTAACAACAACCTCTTGCCCATTTAATCTTGCACGGTGAACCTGGCCTGCAATGGGGAAAAAGATATTCACATTTCTTTCTTCTCATCAAATATTAAACCTAAAACCAACTTCCCTGATTTCACATTTACTATTACAAATATGTGTGAAGTAAAACACTGATTACCAAGACTTGCAGCAGCTATTGGTTCATAGTCAAAATGATCAAAGATGCTAGCTACAGGAGATCCAAGTTCTTCTTCAACAATAGCTATAGCAGTCTCGGAGGGAAATGGAGGAACTTGATCCTGAACCCAGAAAATCAGGTAACTTAGGCTTTGAGTAAATGCAAACTTAATATATTTCGTACTTCTCAATTTAACGTCAAACAGCACCAATTGTTGTCTAACTAAATAAATAAGATTTACACCTAGATCTGAAGAATACAAGGATAACAAGACATGATTGCTTAGAAAATGTAGGCAAACAAATATATAAAAAAAAAATTCAGATTAATACCTAGAGAATAAACATCCTCATAGGGGTTCATAATGACAATGTGTAATGAACAATTTTTCAGAGAACTTTAGCAGTAAAATGCACACAGACTGAGACATTCGCCCTTAACATATTTCACAAGTATTTTCTTTTCTTTTCAACACAATTAAGTTATCAGAATTCATAAGATCATTAAGAGATTAAAAGAGTAAAATGGTTTTATTAATAAAAAATTACTCAACAAGAAACAAAAGGAGACCATCACAAAATAACAACAACTAATAGAAAGCAAACAACAAATAAAGATCTAATTGAAGAACAAATCTAGAAGCTAGGGAAATTTTCCTGTTCTTCTGAAACTATAAATACCATAAATAAACTAGATTAAAAAAAATACAACATAAGCACAATGCAAGGAAATAATCTTATAACATAAGTTCAAACCAAAACTCCAATTCCACCTGAAGTTCAGACAACTGGTCAACATATTCTTGCGGAAGAATGTCCACTCTTGTGGAGAATTGCTGGCCAACTTTGATAAACGTAGGACCTAATCTCAGAATGCTCTCCTTCAGCCACTTGGCAAGGGTCTTTCGCCTTAAGGTTTTCTTTTCCTCTGTCATTCCTCCTGTCAATAATATCTTTTTGCGTCAAATCAAAAACAAATGGTAACATTGTTGAGATTCCTCAAATCAATAAAAAGCACTTCACAATTGATATGTTAACCAGTTTATGTGTTGTTGCTAGAAAACGATTTCCAAACAGGAAAAATTGATAAATATCATAGATTCATAACACCGAGAATAACTATTTAGGTTCAAACATGCGCTTGGCATTAAGTGTAGTATGAATCAACTCTGGCTACCATAATAACTACCAAACTTTTCCAACTAGTAGACCTCAAGTTCATACGCATAATAAGAAATAAATATGTTCCAAATCTCATAGACATATAGTGAGACTGCAGGATTATAAATCTCAAGAAAAACAAATATACCTAAATAATCAAATTATGACTGTAAGGGCTCACATACTTACTATTTAAATTATTGCTCTTAGCTTCCATTTCCCACTGCTAAATCGGTAAACTTCTCTACCAAATGCTAAAATCGCTAGCTGATGCTCTATGATTGCAATTACTCAAATGCTCACTCAACTAACTTTACACTAGAACTCCAACACCCAAGGAATAATGCTTAATCATATATCCGTAATTTAGTACTACAAGTACCGTTTCTAGAATACACGACTGTTAGAAAACATTCCCACTACTAACACATTGAATACACTTCGCATTTGTTTATTGAATCAATAAAATCAACATATAATGGATCCCAAGTTCCTTCACATGAACACTCTAAGAGTCATTTCAGCAAATCCATGAACATTGAACACCTCATTCGCATCATGCCAAGAAGCCAAACAACAAACCTTTATAAGAGAACTTCCGATTATTTAGCCAAGACTTGAAAATAAAAGTTATAACAAATCCCCAGATCTCCAACGTCCTCTGGATCATCGAATAAGTCTTGAACCTGCTCCATCGACCTCCAGGAGCAACCGCCACCTGCAAAAAAAAAATCACAAGTTCATCTCACTCATCCAACCTTTTTTGTTCCCCCTCTTCCGGCAGAGAGTCAAAGACTTAATCCCTTCGAGATACAAAGATTTATGTAAAGGTATATCTTCTCCTAGCAAATGTTATTTCATACACACGAACCTTAAGATGGAACTCCTAAATAATCAAAGCCGTCAATACAACCATACCTCAATCGGTGCTTCCGCACTTTGTTTTTTGAACCACGCGTCCTCTTTACCAATCTCCTCCAACCTCCTCTTCCGTCCATCCTCTCTCCGTTTCGACGCTCCCATAAAATCTTCCACCACCACTTCCGCCGCCACACCATTGCCATTGCCATTAACGTACTTCACCAAGCTTCCATTCGCGCTCCCACTCTCCCTAACGCCGGATACGCCATTCACATAACCATTAACGGCGCCGTTACCACCGCGTCCGCTTGCAGCAACTCCGTTCCCACTCCACTCCACGTCATTCACTCTGTCAATGACGGCACCTTCTTCCTTGACCGCGCGGATACTAGCATTGCGCCTGGAGCTCCGAGCGGGAGAGCGAGAGTGAAATCTGGAGAGAGAACGGCGTGGTTTGGTGGTGATTTGCGGAGCAAGAAATTTGAGCTGGAGTAAGAGTAGAGACGAAGAGGAAGCCATTGATTGATGAGTGCGAGAAGCAGAGAGAGTGTGTGAGAGGATCAAAGCAAAACCCTAGATTTCATTGGAATCGAATTGGAAGGTGTAAGTGCGAGAGTGAAGAAACAGAGGAAGAAGAGTAAGGAACGAAGACAGAGCAAGAGTTGAAGTGAAGTTACATAAAACCAAAAAGGAGTGGAAGGGGTGGTGATAAGGAGGACACGTGGCAAGAAAAGATGAGACACCAAGGTTTTGTAAGATTGTGATTGGTCAGGATTTTCGCGAGTGCGTTCAGCCACAAAGGTCTTCGGCTTGCGTGGAAGATATTTGGACGCTTTATGATGACGTGTCCGCTCCCATGATTTTGGCTTGCCAATTACGATTCAGGGCTATGCATCCGAGATAGCATACATGGTCCATTCACAACTGTTACTCTATCTTCTCCTAAATTTTCTCTTTTTTTTTATATTTTATATTTTTCAGATATTAACTATATATTTTTTCATCTCATACTTTTTCATAAACTATTATTCACAGTTGTTTTTAAAAAAGATGTTTGTTTTTATATAAAATTGTACCTCTTCTCTATTTCACGCATATTAAAAATAATAATGAAAATAGCATTTTTTAGAATAAATTTAATAAAAATAACCTTATTCTTCCAATTATAATGTACTAATCAAAAGTGAGAACTTCATTCAGTTTGAAATTTTTTTCACAAGGTTAGAATTGAAGTAATCATGAGTAATAAGAAAAAATAATCATCATTTAAAAAAAATAAAACTTCAGAAACCTCTTTTCAAAAATTAACCCATTTTAATCACGTATTGAATTATTAGGAAATGAGATAAAAGAAAGATTAAAAATAATATATATTTATATGTGTATATGTAAGGTCCTGAAAATTTACGGTTAGGGGGCCTATTTTCTGAGGCAGCCAGGTCCAAAGGGCCAAAGGCACCATGACCTTAGAAGGGGTTTATTCATTCTTCCAATTCTGAACCAATTTCCAGTTTCTCTTTCTCTTTCTAGACTCATCTCCATTTTTTTCTTCTTGCTCTGACTTCTCTCTACCTTTCCACCACTTTCCACCGTGAAAATTTCGAATAGGTGGTGTGCTTTCATTCACGGAGTTGAGAGCTTCCATTCCATCCGATTAGATTTTCGTTCGAACGGGTAAGTAGATTTCTCCACTTTTTCTTGAACTTAGGGCATGCAACTTTACTGGTTGCATGGTGCTCCTTTTGATTCTCTGTCTATTCTAACTCTAAGAGCTGTTTTCGTCACCATTTAGGTGGTTGTAGGGCATTGTTTGGGTCTTCACTGTGAAGGCACTGTTAGGGCACTCTAGTTGGATGTACTGCTCAACTTCAAGGTAAGGGGAGCTAGTTATGTTTTGTTTGAACTGTACTGTGGGTATGCTTGATAGTTTGCAATTTATTACTGTTGAATTGTATTTTGTGGTAAGCATGTTGATTTGTATCTGCTGGATGTGTGGAAGTTGTGTATCCATGGTGTACTAAACCTTGTTTGACTTGGATGAGTGTGTGTTGGCTGTACTGGATTTCTGGAATGGAGTAAGGACTCTATAAAAATACTTACAATGGGTAGTGAGTGGGTACATGTACTGTCTTAGGCTACTGTGAGGGAAGTGGAGTAGGGAAATTGGACAATGGGGGGTCTAGAGTACCATAGGACAGTTTGGGTAACTTAGATAAATTAACTGTAAATTGTGAGAGCACTTTGTTGGTAGGATAGAAGAATCTTAAAAACCTGAGTTGGCACATCCCTGATCATAGAGCAGCCCTGGCCTGGTCCAGTAAGTTGTGACTAGTCATATGTGATAGCGTCGAAGGTGAGACTGATGAGTTCAGACATCTGATTCTTCTCCAATGACCAATTGGGTTAGGAAGATGTGGTTGAGGTGGAAATCCTGTGTTAGTCATGTTAGAGGAGTAGAAGGTTAAGAGAGTATTGTTTTTAGTCCTTTGAGAGGAACTAAGGTAGGGAATTTGAGCATAGGTGGTCTTGAGTGCAATTGGACAGTGTGGCTAGCTTGTATGAGTCAATTAGAACAGGTTAGGATTATAAAAATGAGTAAAGTCATCTTCAAAATGGTAGAATCGAAATTGGGTCCTTGGGTTAATGAGGATTGGAGGTTTAAGTTAAAATGTGCTAGTGATCACTTTAGAATCATGCTAAGAATGGTTATAATAATCTAGACAAGTTTAATTAGGTGTGATACAAGAATTAGGAGGGTTAGAAGTTGGGGAAAATAAATGAAAAAGGTAAGGATTAATGTGAATGTGTGATTCTGCAGAATTCACGTTCTGCAGATTATGCAGTGTCGCTATGCGAGTTGTCTCGCATAGCGAGACCCTGTAGAGAGTGCTCACTGTCTTGGTAATTCGCTGTGCGAGTTGGTGCGCTGTGCGAATTACCAGAGGGTGATGCTCACTGTTTTTCGACTCAACATGGCGAATCATGTCGCTATGCGATTGGTGGTGGTCTGGGATCACTGCCCATTTAATTCGAATAGCGAATTAGGGACGCTATGCGAGGGTTTAGGGACTGATAATGTGTATTAGAATTTTAGTTTAGCATAGCGCACAAACTTGATGTGCTATGCGAATTTTAGTTGTCCTCTTATCAGGAAAATTCGCCCAGCGCATTAAGGGTAGTGCGCTATGCGAATTTAGCTGAAAAACACTCTCCCGTCAGAAAAATTCGCTCAGCGCACCAAGGGTGGTGCGCTGTGTGAATTTTTGTTGTCTTGCCTTGCACCTTGGTGCGCTATGCGACCTGGTGCAGTGAGTTTCACATTTTTCCTCATATGTTTGAGTTGTTTGATGTTGTTTGACTGCCAAGATGTATGTATGTCTGTATAACTGATTTGGGTGGCTTGATTTTGCTACATGATTGAAGGTATGTTGTATTGTATGTGAATTATAGTTTGGAAGTATGTATGAAACAAAGTTGTGATTGGCGTAAGTGTAACAGTATGGTTGATGGACGTAATTCCATGATCTTCAAAGAGAAGATTCATGGTGGTGCCCTGGTGGTGTGTAGAATGATTGCATGGTAGATCAGTCTTGGGGGTTTTCCTGACGCTCCAATGGTCTTTCATTCTCAAGTAGAGAGGATAGATCCATGTGGTGAGGAGTAGCAGGAGATCCTAGTCTAGGAGGCTTCCAATATGCTCCAAGGCAAGGAAAGGAATAACCTCGTAAGAGTGGTAGGGTGGAACCCATTGGCAAAGACTTTGCAAAGCAGTAGAGGCCACCACGAGTGCATAACCCGCCATAGCTCGGTAATCATTCTGGTCCGGACGAGTTGGTCTATAAAGCAATGAGTCTTGTGATGTCAATGTACTATATGTTTGAGTGATTGTTGCATGTCGTGTGTGATTGAATAACATGATTTTTATATCTAGCTCACCCTTGCTTGTTTGTGTTGTTTGTGTATGTTTCTTCTTGCGATGATCATCCAATTGGATGGGAGCAGATGGCGAGGATGTTCCTTTGGAGACAGATCTGGAAGTTGAGGACAATGTTGCTGCCTAGTATCCTAGGATGCTATTAGTTGATCTTATATTCTAGGATATTATTTCCCATTTCAGCTTATATTTTATATCTTTTTGGAGTTTAAGCTTATATTCTGAAGCTACTTAGAGGATGACTGTAATCTTATTTACTCTCACTGTTTTTTTATATTATGCATGTGGACGTCTTTATTATATATGATTTATATATAATTGGGATGTCACAGTATATATATTAATTAATTAGTTTATTTCAATTTATAGGATGCCAAACTCCTTTAGTGTACTAAGATTTTTACTGTACAAGCTTTATTTAACTAATTTTCTTTTGTTAATATATGTTATATATGCTATTTCTCAAAGTATGTTTCTTCTAAAAAAATTTGTTACACAGGTTTTTTAACCTCTTAGTAGTATCTTAACAGAAAATAAGATAAATGTCTAAAATACGAGTATAAGTCTTTTAATTTAAAATGTAGAACAAATAGAAAAAGAAAACATTAAACTTATAAATTAATTAAAGTATATCTCTGTGAATATGTTTTAAGGTGTTATTTGATACTTTAATATGATTAATAGTTTCTCTTTTTAACATAAATCTAACATTTATAAGATAATACTTTCTTACAATGTGAATTGGTAATTAGAATGTCATAAAATCACTTATATTTATACTGGCTCTAAATTAGTTAGTCTTTGAATATAATTAGTAGATTTTCTCTCTTATAAGTACATCTTTTCATATTCTTAAATAAGACTTTTTTTCTTTTTATCAATTATGTCAATTTCGTAGGTGAAGAAATTGAATCTGTGTTTTCACCTTCACGTGTAACTTCCCTTTTATCACTTTTAAAAAAAATTATTCTTTTATTTTTCACAAGTATCCTTATTTAAAAAAAAGTTCAAGACTAAAAAATAAAATAAACTATCAAACTCTAATTAAATATTCAGAACTTAATAATTGAAAGGAAAATCTATGATCATCAAGCCACAAATATAAAATCAGGTTATGAAAAAAAACACATAATAGTTAACTCTTTTATGTTCACAAAAAATTACTATACAAAAGCTCACAAGATAAAAAAAAATACAAAACTATAATATTTTAGTATTAGATGAGATAAGAGAGAGTTATCCATTTTTTTCTCATAATTGGAACAAAACATGTAAGAAATAAGAACAGAAATAATGAGTTTTGTGTTTAACAAAAAAGAAATACGTAGAAGAATGAAAGATGAATAAAAACAATAAGTAAATCAAGATGCCGAAGAGAAAAAAAAATATCTTGATAAGTTTTTATCATTTATTATATTCAATTTTTTTACTATTTATTAATATTAAATGACATGTTTTATAAAAAGGTTAAAAATTTGTTTAATTTAATTATGATAAATTGTCATTATAAAATATACATAATTTTTTAAAGGGTTGGGAGGGTGACGGCATCTTCCATTTTCCAAGAAGACCTTTTCCTGGATGTCGATCATAAACGCCATAAGAACTGTCGCTCTTCTCTTTTTAAAGGTAAAATGTTGTGGTTTTAATTTGAAATCGTAGTAACACATAGAGTTAGAAATGTTATGAGTTGACAATAGGTAACTCCTTATTGTTGGATTTGAAATGTGAC